GGGGAGATCAAAGATATCCATGTTATGATTGTTCGGCCGCAAGCTATAAATAGCTTGCAGCGCCTAATGAGCAACATTCCTCTTCATTTCAAGGTTATGTTGCTTCATCTACTCAGTTAGCGATGTGATTCGCCCATGAGCCAGTTCGAGATTTGTCTGCCTCGCTCTATTCTCTTTTTCTGAGTTTTCCCATAACTTAGCTCGAGTCTTTTCTATAGCATTTTCGCGCTCTAAGCTCTTTTGCAGCTCCTTTTTCTCTTTGGCCCAACTCCTTAGTGAGTCTCGCTATTGTTAGTTGGAGCCTCTTGTTGTCGTCATCCTTCTGTTGGGGCTCAGTCTTCTAGAAGTCTGCTACTCGCAGAGCAGAATTCCTTTCAGTCAGATACATATTCGCCTGAATGTGGGCAGCCTTTGCCTCTTCGTCTGAATTCGCAAGATCTTACTTCAGCTTAGCAATCTCCTCCTTCATCTCGTGGAGCTTGCCAAAAGAGTTGATCTTCATCTTGTTGTGGGCCACATTCAGGGCAAGCAAAGACTGCATAGAAAGGAATAAAGAGTTAGTTTTTTTCTTCAAAAGCTAAAGGATCGACTTATACGAACGGGTTCTCGAAAAGAACAAGCCATCTTACCTGACTTTGTATTTGGAGTGCAGTGGCCACCAGATTGGTAGGTCGAGAGGCCACGTACTTGTCAAAGGTTGTGGCAAGTTGACAGTCCAAAAAGGTGTAAACCATTGGCCGCAAGTGGTTTGCTAGTTGCCCTAAAAGATCCGACACAGATATGTCGAGCCTTGTTGCAGCAGGGACCTCCTCCACATATTCCTTGTCTACTTCCACCTAAGCGGTTGTGGTTGCTCTTTCTTTCCCTTGCAAGCTCCTAGGGGCAGTCGAGGTCTCAAAATCACCCTTTGAGTTCGTCCTCGCAGAGAAGAGTTGATAGGGCTGTAACCTATCTAGTAATATCTCTAAGCCTTCTGATTCAGACTTAGTTTCTTCTTCAGAGGGTATTGTCTTTCTTTTCTTTGTCCTTAGGGTCGTGGTCTTTTTCCTCGGTGGACGAGTAGTGGCAGGCTGGGGAGCTTTTCCACGTCGCTCAGCAGGTGGTTGCCTTTCGGCACTAATTTGTATTTCCATTACAAGGATATCACTGGAGGTTGCTCCAGCTAGTCCAATTGGGTTGATTCTTGGGAATGCAAACCATACTTCTTTGTCGTTTTCACAACCTTCAGTGGCATAGCTGCTGCATGGCATAATGGACACGTCAGTAAAAAGGGTCTTCTTTTGTTAAAAAAACTTAAGTTTTTTTCTGTGAAAGAAATACTTACAAGCTGAACCATCCAAATATGCATTGGGACTAAAAAACCTGTATTTCTAAAGGTTAGCAATAGTCAGAAGCAGCTTTGCGTCGCGACTCTGGTTGGGTAGTAGACCAAATGCTTCAATGCGGCTGCGATTAGCTAGCACCGACAATCTGGTCATTTTGTTTTCTACAAGAAAGCCAAAGGTTTATTAGCCTAATAAATTAAGGAAAAGTTAAAGTTAAAAGATAAGTGATCTGTAAATTAAAAGGAAAACCTACTCGGTTCCTTAAATTTACAGACTTCATCGTACTCAAAGAAAAAAATATTTGGTTTCATAAGCCTCTACGTTGCTAAGGTAACCAAATATCCCTCCCTCGATCATTAATCACTTAGAGAGGTAGTACGAATCATTGTCTTTACTCTTCTTTAAGTAATAGGCACAGCTGAGCTCTTCTATTGTTGGCTCACCAAGGTTGTGTTCACCAAATGCAATATACATAGCAACCGCTATTATATATGCATTTGGCGTCATTTGATCGCATACTAGTCTATTGCTTTCTGAATTTTGTCCTTCGTGAGAATTGATCATATCACCTTTACGGGACCCATCGAGGTACCCGATGTTTGTGAGCTTCCGGGACCCGCTAAGGTACTTAGTGGTTGCGAGCTTCCCTCTCTAACTGTTCTCGCCTTAAGGGTGTCCATTGCCCTTAGAGTCTGTAAAGGTGCGACATGTAGGTGTTACTCAAACTCTGCATAATTTACCTCATATGACGACTCAGAAGAGTAAAAGAACCCTGGTTTCTCTTCCATAACCGCCAAAAACCCTAAAAGTTCTTAAGGATAATTTTCTAAAGATCTATGCCCTAGGTTTTGACTCTTAAAAGTGTTTCTTTCTAAACACTACCCAAGAATGTTCATCATCTAAGCCTATCAGACGTCTATACCCACCATTATTGTAAAAACTAAACCTTTTGAAAAAAATGAAAAAGAGAAAAAGGGAAGAAAATTTCTTTACCTCTTGATTGCTGGGAACGGAGGCTCTGTCATAACGTTGAGTGTGCATTAACTAGGAAGAAGAGTGTGCATTAACTAAGAAGAAGATGAACTAATTTTTTGAGGGCAAAAACGTTGTTTTCTCTCTAAAAAATTTAGTTCTGTGAAAACCTTAGAATGAGCTTTGGGTTTTATAAGGTGGAAGATGACGTTTGGTTTCTTTTATAGGCGACGTTTGGGCGGGAACGCGCTTCCAACCGCTAATTGTGACCACGTGTCACCAATCTGCACGAAGAGTAACCTTCATGCTTCATGAAGATTAATCGGCGCTTCCCTGTATCGAAATTGCCTAGCGTCGACATGATTATCTCCTCCATATTAAATGTGTCATCATCTGCATTTAATGCTTCAAAAGGGAATGTCGTTTCAGCGTGGCTTGCATTTAATGCTCATTGCTGACACTTATTGCGCAGAGACATGTCTGTCAGATAAAGCTTATTTTATTGACCAAGACAACTGTCAAGCACAACGAATAGCATCTAAGGAGTTTGTTCAAATAAGGCATTTCTTTTTACATGTCAGACTCTAACATCGAATGAGATGATTCTCAGTTTTCGACAACAAAATGTTCCAAGACTTTTTAGGTCGTGAATGACAGATAGAGTTTGAAACACATTTTCATAGCACTGGACATGATATAATTCAGGTCGTTAGACCTTTGTGAACAATCACACTAGGTCGCTTGTGTAATTCTCGAAATTCATGTCATGATCTGCACCCAGTTCGTTGGTCAGATCAAGTCATCAGCCTCATGTCGTTTGTAACAATGTGGTTGCTCTCAACTGTTAGCTCAAGCAGATATTCCCCGAGACAAGTCAGATCACGGCATAATCATGAAGTTCTCAAGATTCAATCCTTGAACCTTAAGAACTGAGGAGCTGTTGTTATGCCTAAAAAACCAGGGCTAACGTAAGCTTACATCAGCAAGTACCAATCAGAGTTCAAGAAGACTTTGCACCGTCCAAGTGCTGCCACGTCAACCCATGACAAAAAGAATACAGTTGTCATCAACTTAGCAGATTCAAGTTTTGTCTATGAGTGACTAAAGACCGCACACTTGTCCAAACCCCAGATAATTTGAGAATATTTCCTAAGTTATCAGCCAATGGGAGGTAAGGAAGGACTTATACAGCACCTATCCACTTGCAGATTTGTAATCATTATCTTGAATTCCTCTACTATAAATAGAGGACTCCCCCTCTTGTTTTTGGGATTCTGATTCTGAACCTTCATTCTAATTCTGATTGTAATCTTTATTTTCAGAGCAAAGATAACCTACAAGAAAAAGACTGACTTAATGTTCTCTCTGAATACTCAGTTATTGTACCTTTGCTCATTGTTCGCTGTATGCGACTTATTGTAATCTCTATTCTCTCATATATAAAAGAAACAGTAGACGTAGGAATCGTTTTATGCATCCGAACCACTTTAAAAATCATTTCTCATTTATTATTCAGTTTTTTCATTCAATTATATTGATTAGCTCTTGAATCAATCATATCACTTGTAATTTCTAAGAACAACTTTGCACGTGTGGATCGTTGATGTCAAAATCACGCATCAACAAACCCTAATATACATTACAACCTCACCTTGCAAATTGCATATATAATATATTGAGATAAAGATGAAATGATCTATGTTCTTTAATAAACTAATCAAACGAAGGTAAGAATTATAATGAAATTCTTGAGAAAAGTATTGGCGAGGCAGGGGCAGTTCAAGTTGAATGAATTTGTGGATAAGTTATTATATATTTTCGGTAAGAGTCGCAATCATGTGCAGTGAGCAATAAGATTGGCGGTTTCAGGAGAAGGCAACACGTCTGCAAGGGAACTGGATTTCATCAGAATATTGAGCCGCGTGTATAGAGTTTGATGATACGAGGCCAACCACAGGTCATGGGGACTGACTCAACACTCGCTCTTCTTTGCTAAATTTTCTTATTCCAATGTGTACATATATATAAAAGCTGCAGCTGCTTCCTTCTTGTTTCGGCTCTTTCTAGGCACCACCCAATGAGGTGGGCCTTTGTCCAATTTTGACAAAGCCCTCTTATCAAGTCCAAGCCGACTCACATCACACGCATCAACATAACATTTCTCCATTTACCTAATAATTATAAAAAAGATCATGTTAGTAAATAATAAGAACATTATTCAACTGGGATAATTTAAAGGTTAATTTTAGTGATGTGTTACAGTGGTAATGGTGGACTTTTGAGATTGGTCACGTGATGGCTTGGGGGATCACATTCACACGACAAGCCGTATAAATTGGGATCAGGCTACCAAAACCAAGAACGTGCAATCCTGCAATATACGTGTGCCGTTTGCGATCAAGAGAGAACCATCCGCTAGATTTTTTAATAAAATTGGACCACAGCTATGGCATTATTATAACCTTCCTATATGATTTTGGTATGCATTATGAGAATCTCTTGTTATTTTTGCTTAATATTCAAATCCCACGTGAATATGTTTAAGGCTTAAGCATGGGATTATCTAGAATTAAGCCATTCTGATTATACTATTTGATTAATTTAATGTTCTATTAGTTTGATTACAAAGAGAGCGTAGAGCTTATCGAAACATTTGAATATCATGATGGTCAGCTTATCCAAGACAGGCACACGGCTCTTTACATATGGCTTTTTTTTTTTTTTTTTTTTTAATACAAAATTTTGAGATGTAATACTGCTGAAGCCTGAAGGAATGGAAGCAAACTTTTAAGTTTAAAAAGGTTTTGCCGCCTCTGCCAGCATCTTCTTTACTCTTGTAAGTTTTTCTATCTCCTTCAAAACCTGTAGATATTAGCAAAGAAATGGATTAATACAAATTACTAGATTTCAAGCCCTGAAAACCTTGCACTGTAATTTTCTTACCTCCATAGTCATGTCTTCTGTGGTTACGGCATCCAAGTCATCGTAGCCCAGTTGATTTGCTACCTCTGTTGAAAACAAGAAGCTGTAAGAAACATCGAAACATTACAATCGGTTACAGGATAAGTAAGAAAACTCATGAGGGTTATACTTTGGAGCGATATGGTTGCATCAGCAGTGGAATATCCACCTTTCATTTGTTGATATAATGCAGCTACCTGTGGCAATACCTGACTATCATTAGGCAGAACATAAAACTTGATAATCACTAAATGCTAAGTAGCTAAAATTTCATAAAGAGAAAACCACCTCAAAACCAGTTTCAGAAATTTATACCTCTGATGCAGTATCTTCACTCTGGTCCTCAACAACTCCCCTCGTCACCATGTCTAGTGGTACATCAATCCATATTGATACTCCATGTCTTAAAAGTGCCCTGTATTTGTTTATAAGCAAGTCAGCTAAAGTAGAGCACTCAAAGTATCCACCAGAGATGATTTAAAAGAGAAATTGCAGGTAGCTCAATCAGAAATTATTGCAATCTCATACAGATTAGTTGAACTCTGAACTGCACCATTTCCAGCACAAACTACTAGTCGACCCATGGATGATAATTGCTTCAATACTTCAGTCTGCGGTAACATGTCAATATAACGCCATCAGCAACATAGAAATTTTAAGAATGCAACTAATCTACCAATCTTGATGTATCAATAACTGAGCTTGAACAAATAAGCAACATAGGAGCACCAAGTATAAAACAATCACCTCAGCTTCCCGATAGCCCCTCTCATCACTCTCCCTGAAAGCTTTAGCAGCAGATTCACCACCAGCAGCTTCCAATACCAGACTATCACTGAATACAGAGCGACCAAAGAGTAAGCTGAGCTATTACATAGCTGTGGGATCTCCTCAAAATTTTAGCAGCCAAAACTCATAGATACCTATCAAAGTAATAATATCGCAATGAATCAGCTAGAAGCTTGCCCAAGCTGGTTTTTATTGAACTTGCCATCCCTTTGCATCAAACAAACCATCATAGCATATAGATAAGTACAAAGATTGGGATCAACATAATATTGAAGTATCCAAATGCACCGTTAGCTACTAATGCTTACCCACAAGAAATATGGAAGTTCCTTTCAGTTCAGGCAATATATCCGCTGCTTTCTTCTGAATCGAAATTGAGCATTTCAATAATCATAACCCAATACAATCACCAAGCAAGAACTAATTTTCGCTACTAGGACATATCAACAAATCTTAAGATATATCAATAAGCTTTTAGATCCAGTTTTGGTTCTCGATAAACAAAAACAAAAAATAAAATAAATATAGGGAAATGCATTATTAGAAAGTAAAGTCTTATATCCTCGCACACTCTCATATCAGTCAACAGGACCCAAAGTGTGTATGATGTATCTGACCTTTACTGCAAGAGATGGATCCTTCACAGCAACCTCAGCTACCGTATCTAACAAAGGTAAAGAAAAGTAAAATCATAGCAAACCAATAACGTACGATTGGTATTTAAGCATCTGGTAACCACATTCGTTATTGTTTTTGTTAAGAAAGAACACAAGTAAAGCGTAGAGAGTTATACAATTCTGGTAACTTAAATATATGAGTGAGAAGTAAAATCAAATGAAAAGAAATAGAAATTTAACTTTACTCTCGAATTTACTTTTTTAGAGAGAATTCAAACTACTCATTACATTTTTCAAATATACCCACTAAGCATATGAATGATGACAGGAAGAAAAAAGGAAAAAAAAAAAAAGACAATATTATATAGTTGCTACTCTACAGTCTACACAACTCTTCTTTACTCTTTCATTTCTCTCAACATTCAAATTACGCAGCTTCGAACTTCACTTTTATCAATTTTTGTTCAATTATCTTCTCTTCTGACCTCATTCATAAATTCAAATTTAACTAAAAAATCTAATTGCCAACCAACTTATGAATTGAACCATGCGAAGCAAAGCAATGCCTAATATTATTTTTCTTCAACATATTTACAAACACTTGGCGTAGATACAAACAACTCAAGAAAACCCCAAATAAAACTGAAAACTATCAAAAGCCCACAAAAGAAAATACAAGTCAAGAGCGAAAGGAGCTCACTGGAAGTATTCTCGTTGGAAAGACAGCAAGTGACGAAACGAGGATTTCGTACAGTAGAATGAGAAATAACAGAAAAGTGAAGTGAATTTCGAACTGATGCGTGGCTTTGAAGCAAAGGGCTGTGAAATCGAAGGAGTTTTGGACAATTATTAATCAATTTCATAGACATAGTAGTTGTTGTTATCTCCATGGATGTACGTGTTATCAGTTTGCAATCTACTTCGCTTTGCTGAAAGCTCAGGAATAAAGATTTTTCCTTGAAAACAAACAAACAAACAAACAAAAAAAAACCTCTAATGGAGTCGATCGTTAACAGCCCAAACATAATTCGAGCAAAACCCAATAAAAAAGCCCAGTCCATGCAAAATTCTTTTATAATTATCAATCAAATACTATTTTGATGAATGTAAAATGGAGAAATTAGTCTAAATAGCCACTTTTAGATTAGTCTAAATAACTTCTTTTAGTGAGATAAAGCTGTAATTGGGATAAAATATCGGGTATTTTAATGTTATAATTGGCTCAATATCATGTCCGAACTATGTAGAGGTAGAGCCATATTCTAGACATAAGAAAAAAATGTTACACTCCTAACTTATGCCATATATATAGCAGAAATAGATGGGTGAGGAATGCTCAATGGATTAAATTAATTCTGCTGTTAAAAATTTATGGTTAGCTTCTAGGAGGTAACTATTGTTTCCTAAAGCCCAATTCAATCAGAAAAAATAAAAATAAAACAAACTATTTTGTTTAAATCACAAAACCACTTTTACTGTTTTTCTTGTTTATCAAACTGACTCCGGAACCCTCGTTTCGTCCTCTCTTCCTGATCCAACATTGATTTTGTTGCAACTCTGTTGTATTATACAAATGCAAGGCCTTGCAGAGCAATAATAATAATTAATAATAATAATAATCTTAATTAGCTTGATTAATTATATTACAGCAAGGTTTCTTCTCCTCCATGTGCATGGGTTGTGGCATTTCAAAGTTTGATCATGAAGAGGCAGGTCCGACGTTCAACCGCCTGACGAAACGAAACGTTCCGCATTCCAATATCGAGAATGACGGCACCCTCGCGTCGGAGCAGCTGCTGCAAGAATATGGCGCCAAAGATGAATCCTCACCCGATCGTAATATTAACAATGATCGCAAAAGTGTTTCTTCTTGGACGGGTAATAAGTTAGAACCGGACGTTCAAGATCAGGTGAATGCAAAGAATAACGGTGGTGGCATGTCCGCGGGTGGTTCAAAAGATCATCTAGGAGGATTTGACAGGAAAATTAAAGTGACGGCGGGGGAGGAGCGTGGTGGTGACGGTGGAGGTGGAGGTTATAATAATAGCAGTGAGAGGGAGAAAAATGAAGAAGAAAATGTATGGTTTTGTGATAGAGAAGATGAGATCGCTGGCCCTGCATCGCCAAGTTTCAGGGAATACTGCGTCGACCCAATGGATGATATTAATGAAGGAGAAGGTTTTCTACATTAATTTTTTTAATTTGTGGATTTATTATATGACATAATCTTGGGAAATGTTAATTATATTATGTTATTAGTGAAAATAATTTTTAATTATTAAGATAGGCGGAGAGGAATAATGCTGAAAATAAAAATCAATATTAGAATTTATTTAATCTTCTTGATATACTCTAATCGTTTAGCAGTTTTATCATAAAGTAATTAATTATCTGTTCTGTTGTATTAAATATTCTGAAATCGTTTAATACTACTTAATTTAAATTTGCAGGTATGATTGGTGCAAAAGGAGAGACCGACAAGGCACAAGCAGAGAGATACCTCACTGCCGAAACGGTAATTAATATATTTCACATATTAAGTACATATTTAATCGTGTTCTTTAAAATAAAGAGTATATTTTATATAAATAAAAAATATTTTTATTAATTTATTGTCTCCATTAAAAAGGTGCAGGGATCGGAAGTAGCTGAACCAAGGAAGAGAAGGAGATCACCGGGAAGAGGATTAATTAAGAGTGCCATTCAGAGGCCAGCTGGATGGATGCAACGCCAGAAGTAACAAACTTTAATTAGCTCTGTAACCTTAAATCTCATGATTTATTTTATGTTAACCCCTTGGAATTAAAAAGCTGACTGATCATATTAAATTTCTCTTCATATTTTTTTTCCCATCGACAACTGTACGTTCTCATCAGTTCTAAGCATGATTTTTCTTTTGGTATATAAATTACGTAATTGCTTATTGATTTGACAGGAGAGGTCCCTACCACTTTCCCAAATGAAAGAATCAGAAAGTCTGAACAAAAACCAGTCTAAATAACGTACAGTAGAAAATGCGGCTTTTGAAAATGGCGGATTATGAGCCTATCGTACTTGGTCCCTTAGGCTTTAAGAAACACGTCTTTTGACCATAGAAAGTCCAATTCAAAACAACAATATCTACCATTTTGTCTTCTGTATCCATCACCTCCTTAATTTTTCTCCTGGACCGTCACTGAGAACCCCATCATCCCTTTTGATTTTCAACTTTTAACTCATAAAAGAATCACCACATACGTAAGCATTATATAATATTTAACTCTTAATAAATTAATTTAGACTCTTCCACTACTAATCTGGATCAACCATTAATTAAATTGTGGGAGGGCTCCACTCTTTATATATATATATATAGCAATCCAATTTGAATAAATGTAGAGATGCTTTTGTGATAAAACGTGTTTAGGGATTCATTTTTTGACGAACGATTTCAAAGTAAATATGGGTGTATTTGTTTTCCTATTTTTACTCTATCCTATTTTTATCATTTCTAAAATACATATTTGTTTTTTTATTCTAAAAATACTATTATATTTTATTCAATTTTTTTAAACCCCTCAAGTTTGTTAATTTAACTAAACACCCAAAAAAATTTAGAAATTGACAAAAACATCCCTATTCACCCACATTTGTCAGATTCTAATCACCACCATGGCCGAAATCTGGTATAATGATGCACTACCGGCTAGATCTGGCCGGTAGTGCGTAGATATGGCCTTTTTCGATCAGATCCATCGTGGATCTGGCTGGAAAAGGCCAGATCTTTGGCCGTAGCTAGTTGTCAACGACGGCCAAGATATGGTCGTCATTGACGACCAAACACGATTAGATTTGGCCGTCAATGGCCAGATCTAGTCGTAGATCTAGCTTTTTTCAACCAGTTCCACAGTGGATTTGGCTGGAAAAGGTCATCTTAGCGCACGACAAGCCAGATCCAGCTGGTCGTGTGTCAATATGGCGACTCCGGGCACCCTCCGACGGTGGTGGCCAACTATCGGTATTTAATGGGTGTATGAGGGTGTTTTTGTAATTTTTAATGTTTTTATTACTTAGTAAATTAACAAACCTAAGAGGTGTTTTTGTTAATTTTTAAATCCTACCTTGTTATTACCACTCAACTCTTACTTTTTAAAAAATACTATCCAAAATACTAAAACAAACACACCTATTTGATTTAAAAAAATTTGACATATTTTAATCAAGCATATAAGATAAGACTCTTCCACAATCACATCTCTCTCTTTACATAGTTCCATGTAATTGTGTCATATATACATTTATTTCAAAAATTTACAAAACTAGCTCTAATTTCCTAAGACTTTTGAACTATCGGTCGAGTAAAAATTATCGTGATTACCTCTATTAGCATCTGAAAAAGAATTCGAAGTTAAGACCTCTTGAATAATATATTTATAAGTCCCTATCAAATTACTAAATTACCTAGAGATAGTTGTCAATAACACTTTCATTCGTTACAATCGATCAAGTAAAATTAATTGATATTTCTGGGTAATTTTTGTTAATAGTTTGGGTCAAAGCTGAAAGCGACAATCATGAATTGTTTGGCGTAAGATTTATGTGGGTCATTTCGGATTATGAACAAGTATATATTTGTTTCAGACTATATAATATACAAGGATGAAATACAAAGAGCTATGATTTCCTCTTTAATCGATTGAAACGGGTAATTCATAAGTTGGGGAGAATGAGATCATGATCCACCCACCAACGGTCAAAGTATGAGATAGTTTCCGTTTCTAAACTACTTATTTCTTTGTCAGCAATCTTTGACTTTGACTCTTTCTATAGTAGAATTATAACTGTGACCATAACCATCTCATGCCTAAATGTCATTTCTTTCTTATCCCCAATGTATTGAATTAAATCCTCCTTTATTCAACCTGAGGGATGGTCTAAGTTATGGTTTATCTCATGAATTTAACAAATATTTACTTAATCAAGGACTTTTATTGTTTCTAAACCAAAATAACCCTCATTTTGATATTGTTATAGTTTTAAAAACTCAAATTCTACTCTCAAACTATCTATTTCTTTTTTAACATGTTACACCCAAAACTTCACGCTGCGTGAATCTAAACCCCGCGAGGGTAAATGCAATTAACTCATACTCATACTCATTATTTCATTTTTTCGATTTTTTATTAGTTTAAGGATGACAACTCATCAAGTTTGAAATATAATCGTTAGACTCTTACTTGACCTATAAAAAAAGATAAAAAATCATATTCTCATTAATTTAATTCTTTTGTTATTTATTTATGTTATATACAACAATACAAAAGAAAATTAAACATATAAGTACTTAATATTTCATAATAAGACCTAAAAAAAAAAAAAAACAACAACAACTTATCAAAAGGATGTTTATTGTATAGGATAAGGTTAAACCTAATACTATGAGACAAGTGAAATTGTTCCACAACCACAATTCACATGGCAAAGACCTTAGCATAAAATCTAGAATACATATATGGAATCATACATAATTCACACCTTTCAAGCAAGCTCGAGCCAATTTCATTGAAAATAATTTGAATTCGAAATATTTGATTAGTAGTTGATCTTAAGTTGTTACTCTTATATTAAATGGCTGGTATAGACTAACTTATTCTAAAATTTACAATACAATTTTATCACAGATCCAACTGCTTTTAAATATTTGAAACTTCCCTTAAAGTTCTGAAAATTACCATTAAATAGACGAAATATTAAACAATTTATTTCTTATAATTTAGTAATTTACTATAAATAAATCAAAGTTTTTACTTATTTTTTATGGTTGTTTAGAAAAGAATTAGAGTGTTTACTGCTGCGAATCTTTTTTCTCCTCATCTGTTTCACTTCGTCCTTTTTTTCACATTCATTTCAACAAGTAATAGTCTTTCGTTGGTTTGATCTGGTCTGTTTAAAGTCGTTTCGGGACCTAAACAGAACACAAGTGAGCTCTCTTCTCTTTTAACTTCCCCAATTCATGCTTCAAAATCTTAAGTAAAGGAGAAAACCAGTTTATTCTGCGCATCTCTGTGCCTCTTAGTCTTAGGGTTTTTGTCAGAAATGATGTCTTCGCTCCATAAATTGCGAAGATTTGCACTTCACAAAACCGATACCAAGGACAAATTTGACTTTTCGCCTGCCGCTCAGGTCGATGAGCTCGCTCAGGCTGCTCAGGTACAATTTCTCATATCTAAATTTCAGATATCATCTGGACTCTAATTTAATTGAATACCAAAAATTATATCCGCAGATATGCTTATTATTTATATATATATATATTTTTTTTCTTTTTGTTGAATATATTGAATGTTTTATTTTATGTTTCGGTTGATTTATAGGAGATGCAAGATATGCGAAATTGCTATGATAGTTTACTCTCAGCTGCTGCGGCGACTGCAAACAGTGCTTATGGTAAAATTTTAAGCTTAAATTTTGTTTCATTATGTTAAATTTACTGTTTTGACGGATTAGTTGCTTTAATTTCTTCTTCTCTCTCTCTCTCTCTCTCTCTTTTATCACAGTTGTTTGGTAGCTATTTTGTCAGGAGTTGTATATTCTAAATTGTTGATTCTGCCAAATGTGGCTACAATTTTTTGCAATTTGACTCTCTGGCTAAACCACAACATTTAAATTTGTATTAGATGTAGTAAAATATATATGATATTTGAGCTAAAATACAGCAAGATTAGAAAACAAGCGTAATTTAGTAATTTTGCTGAAGAATATGATATATGTTCGAATTAGATTGTTATATGATTGCTGAAATATCGTTGAGTTTTTATATTGTATATAAGTTATCCATTTGATGTTTTTGTGCTTTCAGAATTCTCAGAGTCGCTGCACGAAATGGGTTCTTGTCTACTGGAGAAAACCTCGTTACACGATGATGAAGAAAGCAGTAAGTAAATCAAAGTTTTGTTTAAGTCAGAAGTTGCTTTAGCAATTGTTGAGACAAATAATATAAGCATGGACATGCTCTACGAGATGCTGAGGAGTGGACATTTTTACTGGCCCACTCAGTCATAGAATAATGAATCTTTTAATATTCCAAGAAATGAAGCCATAATATTGGTAATTTGATTATATGATCTTAAAATCATATTGTTACCTTTGTTTTAACTTTTGCTTGAAATCATAGTGCTTCAAGTTTGGAAAGGAAATTATACTCGCAGTGCAAATGGCTCGAAATCTCTACTTAGGAATTTGCAGTTGCAATCAAATGATACCAAAAAGAGAGAGAGAGAAGAGAAGAGCTTTCTACATGAAAAGGCCCTTTTAGCCAAGACATAAGTTGTATCAAACAGTCACTTAGCTTGATCATTATTAGATATTATGTGAAGAAAATTCATCAATGCTATAGGCCCTGTAATTTTATGAGTTTAAATTTTCAGATGTTCTAGTTCCTAGTTATGTAAGCTATTTGACATGTTCTAATATAATAAGGCTTGTGCTCTAATTGTGAAATGATATATGCAGGTAGAATTTTGTTAATGTTGGGGAAAGTGCAGTTCGAACTACAAAAGCTTATTGATAGTTATGTGAGTGCTTATTGTTATGTTGTAAATTGTGTATCACATTTTCACAGCCTTTTACAAAAGAATGTGTCCAACCAGGTAGTTACTTTTTGCTTTTTGTAATTCAGAGGTCTCATATAATCCTGACAATTACAAACCCATCAGAATCTCTTCTCAATGAACTTCGCACAGTTGAGGTTTGTTTATGTTGATTCTATACATTTAATTATTATATCAGATATTTCTACACTGTTTACATACTCAGTCGCTGTTGTGTTAAAGGTTTACTGCACTATAGTTCTCATTCCATGCACCATGCATTTGTAAACTATGTAGAGATGAGGCACTGCCTTATAGTGTGTCATATTGATTTTGAAGCCATGTTTTTGTGTTCATCATTATGATGATTGGATATGATACTTGTTCAAGAAATTGACTTGGTGTCCCAAGCTTTTCCCGGTTTATTGAAGTAGAGAAGACATTTGCGAAATTTCTCCTTTTAGTAGTTTTCTGAGTTGCCATGCTCTTGCATGGTCATTATATATTTTTATGGTTCTAAAATGCCCATAAATGTGCTCTGGACTGAGGCCTGAGGGTTTAGTAGCTCTAGTGAAATGGTGCTCCTCGACTCTTGTAACGTTTCTTGTCTTGGTCCTTGTAAACATTTGTCGCAAAGTCATGATATTAACCTGGCGGATTTTCAGCTCAGTCAATGACTAGATGGACATGGATCATAATTTGATAGCATGACTCAGCCAAATGGCTGCAGGAATACTAGATATAGAACTTATGTTTTAGTGAACAAACCTCATCACTCCTTCCCTCCTCTTGTTTACCAGCATAATTTTTGTGTAGTTGAAGAGGATTTCAATCATTTTGCATCACCTACACAGTGACTATTATATTTTTCCATCATTATTGAAGCATTGCAGTGTGAATTATGCTCAATTGCATTTCTTTTGTTTGCTGGTGCAGGATATGAAACGACAATGTGATGAAAAAAGGTTTGCCCTTGTGTGCTTTAGACTTATATTCTTTGGTTGAAGTGAAATTCTTCTGAATTTGATTTGTGATCTACAGAAGTGTATATGAATACATGATGTCACAACAAAGAGACAAAGGAAGGTCAAAAAGTGGCAAAGGCGAAAGTTTTAGTCCACAGCAATTGCAAACTGCCCATGATGAATATGATGAAGAGGCTACCCTATGTGTTTTTCGGCTAAAGTCCCTCAAACAAGGGCAGTACCGTAGTCTTCTAACTCAGGCAGCCCGCCATCATGCAGCTCAGGTTTTTTCTACATCTTCCTAGCTATTTCAAAACACTAAATCTCTCATTCTTTCTGTAATTTGGATCTTAATGTGCTTTCTTGGTTTTTCCTTTCTATTTGCATTGAATGCAGTTAAATTTCTTTAGGAAGGGACTTAAATCACTTGAGGCAGTTGACACTCATGTTAGATCAGTTGCTGAACGGCAACATATTGATTACCAATTTTCTGGACTTGAAGATGATGAAGTGGAAGATGGTGAGGATAACTATTATTCTAATGAAGCAGGGGAATTGAGCTTTGACTACAGACAGAATAAGCAGGGTCAGGATATTGTTTCCACATCAAGAAATTCAACGGAGGTAAGGATCTGTGTCATCAAAAATTTACTTTGTTTATCATATCTTGTGCCAAAGCTATCCAGCATGTTGTCATATGCCAATTTTAGTCAATTATGTTATCTACAAGAACGAATGCTTAATTTTCCAGTTTCTTCCAAGTGTTATGTTTTTCTTGAAATTTACAAGGAATTTCCTTTTCCACTTGCTTTTTGAAATATCTTTTGTCATCCAAGATGCTTGTATAATGTGATTCTTCTGGCTTTTCGCTGATGCCAATCAACAGAATTAGTATTCTCTATAATTGATGTGTGGACTGGCATATCCTTGTACCTCTTTAGGAAAGTAAAATGTGCTTTTCATGCTGGTCACAAACTGTTAAAGTATTAAGCTTGATTCATCCCTTGTTGTAGTCTAGTAGAGTTGTGTGTTGTCCAATTATATGCCAATGCTGGCAGCTTGCATGTATGTGCCTTAAGTGTACTGTGACATTGGACCTACCATCTCAGCTAATTGATGAAATTTTGTTTTCATTATAGAATAAATTGTTAGTAGCCTTGGCTTTTTTTTTTTTTAATCGTATGATAATGGTGTTGTGATGTCTTGTAACTAAGTAAATTTGGAAGCTTCAGTTGGCATGTTCTATGTCTTGTGTTGGTAGGTGTGTTATAGAAAATTGTTGGGAACTGATGACTATTCTCTTAGAAAACAGTAGAGTTAATGCAAATGGAATTATGGAGTGGTGCTGAATTTATCCTCTAATCTGTCAGTTGGGTTGGGAGCATGTGTGAAAACCTAAATTGAGAGGCAAGGTTGCCTTCTTCATTCTGACCCTCCCAAGGTTAATTAGGAGTTGGACTAACTATTGTAGTTGATAATTGCTTCTTAATACAAACCTGACACCTCATTCAAATGGGTTCGAGATTTGAGATCCAAAATCTACCCAGGTTTTCTTTTCACAATTTTCATTCTGCAAATTCGTAATTCACAAAAAATATTTTAATTATGATTATCCATGTTAAATTAATGGTTAGGTTAACTAGGTACAATATTCCACACGTATCTCATAACAGAGAAGATTAGTATAACAAAAATGCCCCAACAAGGCCAATTTAATGCCAACTTAAATTGTATCCCTCGTATCTTTGATTTGGCCTTCCAAACCTGAATCATGAAACAGAGTGTATATCTATGAGTTGGTTGGTTTTTCAGTTCACCATTCAAGTATGTGTCACACTGCAGTGGGTGATGTGAAAACTACCACGATAAGTGATCAACAATTTGACCGCTTTAATAGCACCTTATATTTATTTTTATTTTTATTTTGTTTTGTAACCGGTTTCTTGTATACGTTTGGTTGAGATGGTGGCTTATCCTGCAGGTGGATGAAGTTGGTCTTTCATTTCCTCAAACTTCATTAGTGGAAAATGCTGAGGTAGGATCCTGGAGCTCTTATAGTTATTTGATTTTGAAACTGACGATTGTGAATGTACTTGATTTAGAAATGATGCGTTTCTGTAGATGATTTTGAATGTACTGAATCTAGAATAATGTGGTTTCTATAGTGGAAGTAACAGGTGAACAAAACTTGTTATCAGATTTTTGTTCAGTATCAGCTGGATATAGATTGAAGCTTTCTCAGGCCTTGATTTTCAACTGTTTGTTTTAGCTAGAACAATGACATTTTACTAATCTTGACATTTGGTTTCACTGGTGATTGTTGCCATAGAAGTTACAGTACTTGCTTTCGATGTTTTCAACTTAAAACAATAATTTCTCGATTTTATACAGACAAACTTGGACAAAAACCCAGGAGATCACCCGGCATCAAACAGGGAGCCAAGAGGAAGCTACTCAGCCCCCTTATTTCCTGAAAAGAAGAATGATCAGGCTGAAAAATTTAGACAAATACAGCAATCATCTATAAGGAAATCGGGCACATATGTGCTGCCCACGCCTATTGATGCAAAGGTCCCAATCGCATCAAGACCAAGTACATCTATTCCCTTTGCGAGGCCAACTAACTCCAGTGGACGCACGCACAACCCATCACATTCTTCCCCATTGGAACAGAAGAAGCAAGACAAAGATTATGGTGATGGTCACATGTCAGATCTCTCTGTCTTCAAACGACAGTCAGTTCTTAAAGAGAGCAACATTAATACTACCTCCACCAAACTACCCCCTCCTTTAGCAGAGGGTTTTTCCCTTCCGCAGCTGGATGCATTTACATCTTCTGATACGAAAAATAACAAAGTCAAAGCATTCTCTGGCCCAATGACTAATAAGTCATCATCAAAAAAGCCTGTTTTATCTTCCAGTGGCCCCATTACCTCTACAGAACCCAACCAGCAAGTTTCTGTAGTACTTTTTCCCTCACCAGTTGCTCAACCTTCAACATCTCCAAGGAGATCCCCAAGTGCTTCACCTCCGCTTGTTTCTTCTCCTAGATTAAGTGAACTTCATGAGCTTCCCAGGCCTCCAAGCGGCTTAGCAGGCAAGCCAGCAAAGTCTCATGGTTTGGTTGGTCACTCAGCTCCATTGATGTCTAGAAATCAAGAGCATACTGCAACAAATAAAATTCCTTCAGTCATTTCAAGTGCAGCATCCCCTCTTCCTATTCCACCATTAATTGTTCCTCGGAGTTTCTCCATACCCTCAAGTGGCCAGAGAGCAATGGCATTACATGTTTCGAAGCTTTTGGAATCTCCGAAAGTTGGAGAAAAGGGTGAAGAAGTTTCTTCTCCACCGCTGACGCCTATTTCCCTTGTAAACATTAAACCAGTATCAGGTGTTTCTGAAGTGGCGCCTCACTCTGGGCGTATTAGAGGTGATTGAAATTTCCTCTTTCATTGTTTGCTGTATCACATTGCTTGTGCATATATTTGATGGCTGATGGATATTGGAAGATTTTGTCATTTGCCTGCTTCCATCTTCCATCTTGATTCTTTATGGTTAAAAATTGGTTAATTTAGAAAAGAAAAGGAATTGGCTATGAATTACCGTCGTTCACAATGTAAACGATAGTCCTTAATATTCGTTTCCACGGTTTCATATCTGCTGAGGAGAAAATGTTATGAAGAGTCTAAACTATGCTTGGAAGTTGGGAGGGAATTGAGTAATCCATTTCGCTGTTCAAAAATTCAAATCTTGACTCCTGAACTGAATTTGGCTTCATGCTACTGGGGGCACGTTTCAGAGTTAGAAATAACTTTTATTAAATGGTAATAAGATATATAGAGTTTGAGGTACTTCAACATTGAGTGTACAAACTATGAAACATAACGAGTAAAATATTAAACCGTTAGTGAAATTGAGCTGGGCAAAGTGCAACCTCTTTTCAAGAAACTTGCATATAGTTTTCGAGGTAATCCAAGCTATAAATTACCTACAAACATGATGAAATTTTACAGTAAAAACATAGTAGTTTGAAATTTGAATAGATAAACTGTAAGAGTTAGTCTGGTGGTCAAAGATGTTTATTTTATTTTCTAAGTTTCTACCCTATTTCTTAAGTTTCTAGAGTCAAACCTTAGGAAGATGAAATTTATGTTTTAATCCCTGTTCTTTCTCTTTTTAATGACAATAAATAAATAATGGCCTACCACAAATACAATGACCAAAATGTGAAAAGTGGAGGCAGAAAAGTCAGCAATCTACGCCACCCGCCGTAAATGCTTTCTTTCTACGTAGACGATGATGACAAAGATGACGGTGGTGATGATGTTAAGAAGTGATTCCTAAACCGTTTGTACAAGAAACAATGGTCGGCAGCTACGTAACCACCGTTACACACGTAAATACAATCACTTTCTCATTTTATCCCCCCAAAGCCAAATCGGTGCAATGAGAAAAATAAACTAAAAAGAAAATTCTTGATTTGACAACTTTGTGATTAGAGTCCATGCTTGCCGAAATATTAGTAGCTGTAATGTGAAAATAGCAAAGCTAAAGCGGAAAGCAAAGTATTTATTGGAGTCTAAACAGTTCATGTTTTCACAAGTTCAGTAACTTATCAATGAGATGCCTGCAACTGCAAAAGGTTAATTGCTTTAACAAATAACGATGCTTCGTTTGTTCTATCTCTCCCTTTTTTCTTTTTCTTTTAATTAATTTGAATTTGTTTATGTATATAGAAAGTCAAATGTTTTAAGGTTTCCGTATCTCATGCTTTTTTTGGATATGAAATTACAAAGACTTTGCTTCAATGATTTGCGACTATCTTTTGCTTTGAAAACCCCTCTCTCTTCTTCTTCTTCTTCTTTTCCTTTAAGGATCCTTCATCTTCACAAACTTCCCAGTTCCCACATAAATTTCCAATCTAATGAAGTCCTAAAAAGAAGAAATAAGATTAATCTAACTAAGAACTAGATTCTTAATATGGAGAATCAATCTTAATTTAAATTTTTTGAATAAAAAAAAAAAAAAAAAGTCATTGATGCTCGTACATGTGGTACACATGTAAAGTATAATTTGACCCAACTTTCAATTGATCCCACAAGGAAAAACTAACTGCACGCTTGTCATATATAATCTGAAAATGTAAGTTTCTTTTTTCATATTGAGTACCGTCTCAGATCAGTCTGACTAATGAGCTCAACTTGGGACTCCATTTTCTCTTCTTTTGCTAAAGACTTTGGGAATTTTATTTGAGTTTCGTTTTAAAATAATGAATAAATAGCTGGGTGGGAGAAGTAATGGATTGATAAAATAATCATTGAATGTCTCTATTATATTGGGTGACACAAAGAATAATATTTGATCTCACAGCCCAATGAAAAGGGTTTGCGTTCTCCAAGCCTGGAAGCATTTAGAAAATCCTTTTATGTCTTGTTCCCTTTTCCAACACAACCAACACCATTCTTTACGAGGAAACACATTAATTATACAAAGATTTTGAATTATAATGTATATATGGAAGACACCGAGAGAAAGAGGAAGAGAAGGAGAATCTCTTGGCTTTTAAATTAGGTTTTAAAATATGCAAAAAAAATGTCGCTCAAGTCATAAAGATTCGTTAATGGAAGCATATTTTAGGAGGGTAATAAGTTCTTTGTATTGAAATAAGAACAAGAATCAAAATCCCATGTGCAGATATGCCCTTCTCCATCATATTCATGTTCATTTGCAGCTAAAGCCTAAAGGGTATCTCTTTTTTATTTTTTGGTTTACAGTTTACACAGAGTCGTGATTAGATAATACAGAACCTCTTTTGCTTCTTTCTTCGGATGCCTCTCCTTTCTATGCATTCCTTTTGTTTATATCATATCTACTTTGGATCACCTTTTCATCATAAATTTTTTTGCCTTTTTGATAGTAAAAGCTTAGATATTGAGGAATAATCAGGGCCACTGCTTTAATATGAATAAGTGCCACCTCTTTTCCTATCACTATAATTGTTTTTAGTTTACTAAAATTAAAAGCATGTAAAGAAAATGGAACAATATCATATCTAATTGGATTTGCTTGCAAAACACAATTTCTTAAAACAGTTATTTGCATGCCTTTTCTTTTTCTCTATTCTTTTTGCCCATTCATCTCATTTGTTGCACAAAATACAGAAAATCCTGATACAAGTCGATCTATCAAATTAAATCTGGTTAATTTCAGCTCTTTCTGACACAAGAATAAGAAGAGAAACTCGTGTAACCACTGGTTTCTTCTTGATCTAAACATATCTCAGCTGTGACGTCACTTGAACTTGATGAACATGGTTTAGGAGGACCTAAGAAATCAGATTGATCTGCAATAGTAAAATTAATACAATTTGGTCTAGTTATCCCAATAGTCTGATTTTTGTTGCGGCTGCTAGGGAGATTAGAAACGCTTTCATGCTTCTTAGGTTTTCTCTTCCTTTGAAATATGCGGTACACAATCCAATCACTTATCTGCAAATATGAATTCGAAAAGCAAAACCATATTATATATTGAACTAGACAAAAACTAGTGTGAGAAGACTCAATATTGAACATTTCATACCAGCTGGGTTGAATTGAGGTTTGTTGTAGGGCATAAAAGGCGATATTCATGCATCAACCATCGAGTTTTAGTCTGATGATCATTAGCAGACTTGCCTTGGCGGAAAACTAAAGTTTTCCTCAACCCAACAGCTTGTTTATAACTACCAGAACCCATAATTTGCTTGTCTTTGCCAATGGATTTCCAGTAACCAGAACCATCAGCTATTTTGCATTTGCTCTCATTGGCATTTCTACTTCTGTTATTGCTAAAGAAATACCTCTTCTCCTTCACATCACCTATACCCCAAATAACATACAATAATTCAGATTTGTCTCCAAAACCCTTATGGCAAACAATGTGTTCAAGTAGGATCAAAGTTATTAACATTTCAGTTCGCTTTTGACAAGAAAGCACATAAAATTTTATTAAAAAAAAGTGTAAAACATATGTAACCTGGCAAGCTCCAAGGATCAGCCTGGAAAACATCAAGCTCGGGGATAACTGAAGCCGGCAATGGCATCCCAAACACCTTTCGCTTCAAGTAATGAACAACGAGCTCTTCATCTGTGGGACAAAACCTGTACCCAATAGGCAACTTGATTCCACCATTCACAACAAAGCTTTGTTTCTCCATCTTCAATCCCCAAACAAAAAGCTATTTTAATATCTGGGTAGTCTCAAGAGTCAGACTCAGCAACAAAGTTGAGCTATGAATGAAGAAGAAGAAGCAAAGACAAGCATGTGCGACAAAGAGAATAATGAAGAGAGATCAAAGAAGCATGATTAAACAGAAAGAAAAGGCAAAGAAGACTTGTGTGAGCTCTTGGAGGGCTAGGCGAAGAGGAAAGACAAAGGAGGTTTATATAGAGAATGAAAGGAATAAAATTCCATTTATATAAAACTACTCCTTCCTAGTATGACTCAATAAAACTCTATTTGCTTGACTTTAGAATTGCTTTATTTTGACGGGTCGTTTCACAACCGTGTAGGAAATAAATTAAGAGGGCCCTGACATGAAATGAAAACCTATGAATTTTGGTCAATAAGTATGCGCCCGTTTGTGCACAGTGATCAGCACGTGTGTCACATTGCATGGAGTTTTTGGGGCTGGCACGGCAATTTAAACTTTAAAGAGATGAATCAATTGTCTTTTCATTATTCTACTTACCAATTACGTTTATTTCTGGGTTGACTCTGAGGTTATCTTAATCTCATCATTCAAGTTATGTATTATGTAACACTTCCTAAGCAACCCGTAACCCACCTCAAATTGCATATTTCGGAAATTAAAGACAAATCTTCATCTTTATCAATAATCAATATGTGAGGAAATGATTTAATATGACTCGGTTATTAGCAAGGGAAGAGTTCAAGAAATGTGTTGAACTTTGAACGAAGTAAATCGTGTTTGACCTATTCTAAATTTTAACTCACTTACTTTAGGTTGACACAGCCGTGATTTAATAGTAAATTATCAGTGGGTTCGGTACTTGACATGGTACATACCAAAGAAGAAAGAGACTTACCGAATTTTTAAACTAAATTAATTAGACCTCACATGTTGAAATAAACTGCTTTGAAGACTCTTAAGTATGAAATCCAGAAGGTAGATATATAGCTTCAGCTTTTAGAGAGATGATGAATCCAATTAAAGCATTTGTAATTAATGTAATTAATCACTCCTATAATTATGTCTCTGTCCCCATCGCCATTAGAATAGAGTAATTTCATTTTCACTAGAAGAAAGAAGCAAGCTATTCCTCTGACCAAAATCAAGAAGCCAAGTTTGAAGTTTTCCTTACAAAACGACAACCAAGCTGTGGTGGTGAAATACACACACAATTCCCATAAAAATTAAAATTTGATAATGGCACAAGTCAACCATGACAATGATATTACACATATATACATTAAATTTAATTTAACTCTATCCACGTCTGTTGAAATTAGAGACTTTTGAACGCCAGACAGACCTCTAGATGCGTGTTTGAACACATAGAACTCAGTTTTTAATAAAAACCAAACACAACACCATAAATGAATGTGAATAAGATATATAGTCATTCGTTGGGATTCTTCATTTCTTGTCGTTGAAGTTGAGAATCACCTCAGCTGCGAGATTCCTTTTAATGGTAATGGAGGGCCATCATCTATTTAATCTTTTTAATTGCAATAATTAATTTACATTATCACCTTATCCCTATTAAGAGTATTTCTTAAATTTTTTATATATCTGAATCTGACCCCTTTCATTATTATTAGTTGCCTGCTTTTAGCTGTCTCCTCCTCAACCATCTCTCTCATTCTGCAGTTCTTTAATCATTTCAATATTTTATTCCATGATCACCTGTTTTTTTTTTCTTTGAATATTAGTAAATGGGATCCCACCCAGTTCGCTTATAATCTGAAATCGAACATAATATAAGTATAATTCCCATATCACTTATTGGGATCAATTGTATTATTATGAATCAATTCTTGTAAATTTATCATATCATATTAGAAAATATTAAAGGTTATGAATGTATAAAAAATATAACAAGATTCTCCAATATTATCAAATCATTTCATATGAGGAGATAGAATTAATGCAGGGCATTGGATTCTTGAATTAGATTCAATTCACCTATCATTGGAAGTGGCTATTACGAATAGCCAAACGGTAAATTAAAAAAAAAAAAAAAAAAGAGTTGGCCTACAAAGAAGAAAGAGACCTTCCCTCTGAAACTAGAACCCTCTAAATTACTTTCATTTTGAGTTCAAGTTTTGAGGTTTATGAATTGAATGGTCCTTCTTTAGGGACCGATGAAGACACCTCAAGAGTTCTACTGAACTAGAGGACCATATAAAAACACGCTTGGTCGTGCCATAAACATAGTTCGTAAAACATCATAAATTATTTTGACAAAATTAATGAGATTGTCAGATAATAGAGCTCCTAGAGCCACTACAATCAGTAGCAGAACTTAAAAATTTTAAAACTGGGGAAAAGGAAGGTGAAGTTATAATGGTATAAAACACAGTTTCAGAGATCATATTTAGAGAAACGAAGCTCATCAAAAATACATATCAATATGAGAGGGCATAAAATTAATTAGTAAAATATAAATATAATATGAATTTGAAAAACAACAAATTTTCTTGTGTCCTACGTACAGTAATTAATGAGGTAAACAGCCAAGAGTTTGGGACCAAACTACTTAAATGTGCATTGTATTCCCCAACCTCTCCATTGAAACCCCCAATTTTCTTGGCACTTTTCCCCAGTAAGATTCAAGCACTGTCAAGTTATAACTAAGTAACTGAGATATACTACTGTTCTAGTTTAGTTATATTAATGGAGGGCATCCATTGTTACTCAGTTACTGTAATATTATTCCTTTATGAATTATGATACAGAAAAAAACTTTACCAATTTGCTCCAGTTTTTTAAATAAGGTAAACATACAGCACGATGATTATGCCATAAGAATTATGCAATAAATCACCCAACATTTAACGCTTCAAACGAACTCAAGTTTTAATGATTGTAATTATATGATACAGGGGAGTCGTACCAGAAAACAAAGAGTTTCCCTTTTTTTTTTTTTTTTTTTTTTTAATAATTTCGTCCAGAATGATACACAAAAAATTTCTAGTGTTGGACTGGACCTAATTTGTTGTCACTTTTGAAACTTTTATGGCTGCGGCTTGCGGGGCCATAAAGATGTAGCTATATATATGGACTATCAGGGTCGCCGAATAAGTATATGGGTGTCTATTGCAACAGTAATGGGCTTCCAACAATTCAACTGCATGTAACAAAGGAAAATTGGAGAGTGTACTCAGTCATGGAGGTGAGGCCCAAAAGGAATCATGTGTTGCACTTTGGGGAACAGGGTTGTAATATGCAACATCTTTTGTCCAGTGAAATCTATACCACTAATTAAGTACTTGTTATGGCATTATGTTGTAAAATATGATAGGAAAAAATTGTTGTTATATATATAAGTTTTTCATGTTTTTCATAAACCTATTAATAATCATGGGGATCATTCATAAGTTTTATATACGAATAATTTTAAGTATCTTAATTTTAAAATCTTAAGTCGAATGTTATTAGGAGGTGTTTGTCTGAGCTTATGAAAATTAGCTTATAAGTACTTGATTTTAGTTTATAAACATTTAAAATTTTAAGAAATTACGTATTTGGTTAAAGTACTTATAAATAAGTAGTTGACGTGTTTGACAAAATGTGGCTTATAAGTACATTTTATTATAAAATGACTAAAAATGATACTATATTAAACAAGGGTATACTATGAAATTTTAAAATTAAACAAGAATAATATGGTAATATACTTGGTTAAATTAGCTTATACGCAGAGTGCTTAAGATACTTTTTTTTTTTTTTTTTTTTTCTTATAAACTCAAAAAAGTTATAAACAAACAAATCGGCTTAATTTTAGAGTTTATAAGTTAGTTTGACCAGCTTATAAGCTTAGACAAACACTCCTTTAATTGATTAATATCATATCACTCATAGATACGAAATTAATAAACAAATTTAAGATCTGTAGCTTTAGGAATTTCATCAAACACTTTCCTTGAAGGGAAGCCTATCCTCTTTTTCTTTTTATTCTAACAACTTCAAATTATACTTGGACCAAACTTTCGAGAATGTAGCTGAAATTTATTCTTTCTATAAAATTCTCTTTTAACAGCACAAAATTTACCTATTTTCTTTGTTATCTAGAGTGAAAAATGATAATTAGGCGGTTAATTAATGGCAAATAAACTAATTTTGATAATCAGTGAAAACAAGAGGAATTATAGACTCAAACATGAAAATTCTGCTCGTAAATAGTGTAAACATACAGCTTTATATCATTCCTCAAACCGGGATACAGAATTTCTCATACTACACGACGTACAAAAGACGAGATAAATAAAGCCAAGTATGAGGTTTTGCTTCTTGGATTGATAGTTTAAAGGTAAGAAGAGATAAATTTATGTACAAAAACTATAAATGGTAGGTGACCATCCCAATTCCCGGCCTCAACATCAGCCCCATAAAACTGGCAAAATTTGCGAAACTGTAAGTGTACTTGAAAGCAAAAGGCTGATGTTAAAGCTGTATCAATTCAGGAATGAGCTTCAAAAGAAATGAAAGCTCCCTCTGTGAGAACTCTGGTTTTGCTTTCAATTCCGTGTTCCCATCTCCTTCACTTAATTTCTCATCCTCTTCATCCACCTTTGGTGGCTTAATCATATCGGATACCGCCTCTGTTATCTCTTGAACCAAATCAACTATCACTCCTTCAATTCCCATCAAATGTTGCATGTAAACTGCCTCAGATACATTACTGCAACATCGAAATTATAGCAATCTATCAGTATATCATCATAAAATTGCAGTCGCAATGAAATCCACTCTCGACAATCATTAGATTGTACTGAAACCAGAACAAGTCATGTGCATGAACCATTGACCAAATGGGATTAAACAAAAGTAAAAACTAAGACTTCACATGGGTGACAAACCATATTTAAATCAGGTTTGACATTTTTGGCAAGATGTGATATGGAACTGAATTTGGTAAATTTCCTAATCAAGGATATTTCAAGATCAAACATAAAGTATAGAAAAATAAAAATCTTACTTTAATTTGCCATATGTGAGAAGGGAGAGTTTGGCTTCTTTGATCTTGGTGACTGCTCCTGGATTTCTGAAGACTTCTTTAACCTCAGAAACAATCCCTTGTAAACCTCCTTCCAAACACACTTTTATAGCCTCCTCCAAAGAATTTCTCCTCACATCATAGAAAATTTCTGTCCCCCCATTTGTCAAAAAGAAAACCTGGTTTCATTCAAGAACATCAACCAATTTTCATTAGAGACACCCCATGGTTTTAACAATTTTATAAACTAAGAAGTTAAGACGGTTAAAAAGAGATTAATATATACAAAGATTCCTTACAGGGTAGACACTCTGCAATTTCCTAACAAGGAGGGCTGCATCTGGTTGGAAAGTTGAGAAAAGAATAGGTCTGTCTTTAGCATGCTCAAAGACCACCTGTTCCAAAAATTTACCAATAATCAATAATTATTATAAAAATCATTAACTCATTCTTAATATGAATTAATTATATTTAATCTAAGTTATGTGGTGGCATTTTACTTTAAGGTTTATAACAATACCTTCAAGATGGCTTGAAGAACCCGGATGAGATAATCCTGCTGGTAGACAACATGGTCATCAAATTTCAACTCAATATTGAAGCCCAAAGTAGGCTCCACTAGTTGAAATGCTTCTTGGAGGGTGCAAAGAGAATCATCAGTTTCAACGTTCCAGTCTACAATTTTCCCATCTTTTGTTTTTCTCAGCAAAGTTTTTCCCACTTTTCCATGTTCCTTCTGGGGTCCATAGCACAGAAATTCTGATAAACATAGTTCTGTAACTCTCTTCTCAAATATACTACCCTGAATACCAAAACAGAAAACCAAATTAATGTTCAGTTCAGAAAATTAAATTTTTTTAGGGAAAAAAGGCAAAAATTTGAGAGATGGAGAACTTACATTATCTTCAGAGAAGATGAAGTTGTCATGGAAAATGACAGGGCAGTCATCTTTTGTCACCTACAAAAATGACATTTGTTTCTTTTAACTTTCCTGTAACTTTTATTTTTTATTTCAAAAATTACAAAAATTTATAAACAATATCAGTATCATTTAAGGGAAAATAAAAAATATTAAATATTAACAAATTCAATTATTAAAGATAAGAAAACTAAATTTTGAATTTGTAAAAAATAAATTAGAGATTTTTTTTTTAATTTATAAAAATACTCAAAAATGTAAAAACAGGAAAACATTTTACACGCTGTGTCCACGTAGGAAACTGAATACAGATAGACTGCCAACGCGGCGAAACGTACAACGCGCCGACCAAACAACTTGCTTTTCAAGATAGATTAACAATACGATAACATAATAAATAAATAAATAAATGAATTTCAGATCGGATAAATCGCTGGAGAAAGCCGTTGAAAAAGAAAGCGCAGAAAAAGAAGGCCATATCAAGTGATATGAAGGCTCACCTGAACGTCAAATTCGATGTAATCAATTGGGTATTTGGCAGCAGAGTTGAAAGAAACAATGGAGTTCTCTTTAATGGCTTTCATTCTCTTATCAGAAGACTGCAACACGTTCATTCCATGCCCTCTGTGTCCCACAACTAAGAACTTCGGTATCTTAAACGACGCCCTATTATTATTATTATTATTCATCTCCACACCTGCATAAACTCGAAACGTTAATAACTTGATATTTCATTTTGAAGAGAGAAGCAATGGCCGGCGTTATTACCTGTGGAGAAACGAGAGGAGAAGAGAGTGAGAGAAGCATTCTCAGGGACTTGGTCCAGAGACGGGACGTCAGAAACATGGACGGCTTTAAGAGCCATTGGATTTTTTTTTTGATTGAAGATGAAAAGAGAAAGAGAGGGAGTTAGCGGGTATTTTGAGAATTGTCGTGGAGGAGGGGCTTTGGTGGGGGTATATATTATGGATTTTCCTAAGTGAAAAGAAGGAAACGGAACGGGATCTACTCTTGGAATATTCGATATCCAATGTCATATGCTGTTGGATATTCTCAGTTTATCTTCCTAGTTCCTTCCTTCACCTACAATTTGTTTCCTTGTCACCTTTTCGTTTTTTCCCAACCAACCGTACTTCAAATAATTTTTAAATAAAAAAAAATTAAAGACGCGTGAGTTTACTGGCGCCGTTAAGAAGGCATAATTGACCGTGTCATACAAATTGGTGAAAAAAAAAAAAAAACATAGCGGGAAAGATTATTTGCACGCACCAAGAGAGGACCGTAACTAACACCCTACAGTGAGACACTTTAAACACGTGAGGGGCGTTTGTGATCACGCTCGATCTAGACAAGTGGGGTAGAATAATATTTTATCTCTGGAAAGAAAACTACAAAAGCGGAATATTCACCGAATATCTATTAGAATAAGACACGTGGAGAAAAAGAGATCTGACCAATCACACAATGTACAACTCCCTGCCCTGTACTGAACGCGCAGGTGTATTATTCGGGTATGTGACTGTGAGTCTACGTGATTCTGACTAGATTACAGGTGGGATTAGATGATTGGATAAGATAATCTTAAATGAAGGGCGGGGGATGAGAGGGTGTTGTTCGTTATGGTATTATTGTTGGGAGTAAACGACTAGTTCCCACCCAAGGTTTGCCTCAATCATTTTCCACCCAAAAAGTTTCAAAAAACCAAATTACCACCCACTTGTCAACTTCCGTTAGTAAATTCCGTCAATTACAGTAATTATAACTGTAAAACGGAAATGCCCTTAACTGTTGATAGGAACTGTTTTATTATTATTATTATATGTCCTGTCAATGCAGTCAATTACCAATATACCCCTTTTTAACTATGTAATTACCAACATACCCTTTTAGCTATGTAATTACCAATATATCCCCCACTATGTATAAAATTTAAATTACCAATTTATCTCTAATGCTAAAAAATCAATCAGTAATTGTTAAGATATTAAAATTTTGAAGTAATTAATATTAACATCTTGTGCATGTGTTTGATGCCAAAAAAACTGACTGAATTTTATCAATTAAAACCCAGCAAGAGTGTAGATTCCAAAATCATAATGCAATCGCGTGAATTGATACCCAAAAAAGAGAAATTGGAAATGCAATTCAAATATGTTCAATCTGGGTAAATAAACCAACAAGTTTTAAAGAGGAAGACCAAAAAATAGAGTTAAAATCACTTCATTGTCATTGTAACAAATCTCATTCAAAAATATCAACGCCAATTAATTGTCATTGTCACAATTCTCATTCAAAAATATTAAAGCCAATTCAGTCTCCACAGGTAAAAATTATGAGGGTTTAATTCTGGTCATAAATCTATGATCAATAATATATACATAGAGTAAAAATATGACTAGTATACGATCTGTCTAGGTGACCTGAAACATGAGGCTTTGATTCTAGTGCTTCTTGAGTTCCTGTACTCCAAACCCTTGATGATCTCTAAGAGTTATGACCTGAAACAAAGTAGCTCAATAACTTCCTTTAATAATGTCCACAAACTTATAAGACATACAATATACAAATAATTAACCAGTTTTACAAAAAAAATTTCCATAAAGAACCAGTAAAAAAACAAGCCATTTTTCACTCATGGGGCGTTTGGTTGGGGGTTATAGGAGATTGTTGGGGTAATGTCATCTTATATTACTTGATTACCATGTTTGGTTGTCAAGTAATATAAGATACCGATAATCTTCAAATACTAATAGTGGTTACTATTAGTAATATCGGAGGTAATCTGATTACCTCCATTTTCTTAGGTATTCTGAGATTACTAAAGTTATCTTTTTTTGTTACAATTTTATCCCTTATTAATAAAATTTTTAGACAATAATACCCCTACTTTAAAACAAATTTACATTAATATCCTATTTCAATTTTACCCCTGTTTAATTAAAATTTTGAACAATAATACCCTTATATTTAAAAATAATTTACAGATCACCAATGCCATCCAGCCACCACAGCCGACAGCGGCCAACCACCATAGGCCGTGGCCGAAAAATCACCTGAGTCCCTAAAAAAGAACGAGACTCCAAGAGACTTCGATATGGCCGGAATAGATCTGGCCACTAACGGCTAGGTGATCTCGTCTAGATCTGGCCGATAATGGCCAGTGATCTGGCCGTTAGAGGCCAGATCTAGCCTGATATGGCCGTTTTTGGCCATCAATATGGTCAGAAACGGCCATATCAAAGCCTTTTGGGCACGGTCAGTTGCTGATAGGGACTTTCGGAGACTACCGGTGGTGGTTTGCGGTGGAGGCAGGTGGTAGGGGTGATTTCATAATAAATTAAAGTTTTATATAAGCGGAGATGTTTTAATTAAATCTGAAATATTGGGGGTTAAAAGAAATTATTCAAAAATTAATAATAAAAATAATATTATATTAATATTTAAAAAAAGGAAAATTTGGTAATTTAAATAACATACCCACCAATTTATTCCCCATAACCAAACATATTAATATAACATACCCACCAACTAACCAAACACATTTTTCTAAATATTCCTAGTAATCTTCCAAGGTAATCTATCTTTCCAGTGATCCAACATTCTTAGTAATCTAACATTCTTGAACCAAACGCCCCCTCAAAACCATCTCAAATTCACCTCAAAATGTCCACAAACTTATAATACATACAATATACAAATAATTAACCATTTACAGAAAAACAAAAATTCCAACAAAAACAAGTAAAAAACAAGCTACTTTTCACTCTTTACCACCTCAAATTCACCTCAGAATATCCTCGAACTTATAATACATACATTATACAAATAATTAACCAGCTTTACAGAAAAAAAAAAAAAATTCTAACAAAAACTAGTAAAAAACAAGCATTTTTCACTCCTTACCCCCTCAAATTCACCTCAGAATGTCCACAAACAATATTTTGTATGAAATAACAGCACTACTTGCATTTAAGATCGAGCAAATTGATATACCATCAAAAGAAAAATTATATTATCTATGTATGCTGCCTATACAGCTACAAAATCAAGAAATTCGATTGCAAACCATTATTTAACATTTCAGCAATATCATGCAGCTAGCAGTGAACAACTATTACCCAGAATTCATTCACATACATATGGAAGAATCATTACAAATTTCCCAGGCTCATAAAAGAGTTGAATATCAGCAATACAACAAAACAAGTGTAAAATGCAATCCTATATGAAATTGAAACATTACAACCATGTTAAAACATGAAGACAAAATTGAAACATGAGACACCCAAAATTAACCAAACCAAACCAAACCAAACCTAAGTCTAAGCTTAATCTCAGTCAACACCTTCTTTTATGTTGGGGCATATAAATACAGCTGAAAGAGAAATGTCAGAAGCAAATGCCAGAATTTACTATTAACTAAAATATTTTCTTTGCAATAAACTAATTTTTCTAAGACTTGCTTACAAGAATTGGTGTATATTGTTTCATTAGTTAATAACAACACATAGTGATCTTACTACAACCCAATAAGATTATTGAAGTAGACAACACCCTCTTTTTTTCTTTTTTGTTCGGTCCTTTTTTATGAATTTCTTTTATTTAAATGATTTTTTTTTGTAAAATGTTAAAATACTTAGATTAAAAAAAAAAAAAAAACCAAAAATACAAAAGAAAGAAGCTTTACATATAGACAATCCTAAACAAGCTAAGCCTAATAAAAGTGCAGTAAATCAGCTTTAGAACTTGGAACTTAATACAAGCTAAAGCAGCATAATTTATTCTAATACACGTGACTAGTCAAACTTCAAAAATCTACACACGCTGAAGACTTCAATAAAAACTAAGTTGATTTTTTTGGGTAATGCTTATGAGAATTCTCAAAAATCCTTCACTTTGGTTTGAAGTATTGAAAGATGCAGACAAAATTTCTTCCATAAAAAACCGTTTATTACTCTAAAAACACCTTCCTTAAACTCTCATGAAAACCTATTCTCAACACCAAATTTCAAGTACATCCAGAACCACAATTTTAGCAATTAAAATCTAACTTCACAATTTTCAATAATGTCAATATGGATTAATGATTAATTGAATAAAAATTACCCATTGAATAAACAATGCTCCACTACTCTTTTTCCATTGTCAGATTTTTTATAAAGTAGTAAAAGCACATACAATAACAACAACAACAACATACAAGATCACATTCAAACCATAAACATAAAGAATTAATTTATACATACATGCACATATTACAAATGCTCAAAAAAGGTACTGCAAAAGACAAAGAAGGAGATACCCACATTATTAGGATGCCAGGTATTACGGATATAGAAGGATCCGTAAGATCCTCCTCAAATCATGTTGTATCTTTTATCAAAACCCAATCCCATGATTCTAGGCAATCTCTTGATTATAGACAATAGCTATAGATGGAATTGTTGACTTTGTATGTAAATCATCTTGCTGTAATATTGCTCTGTATATTCTATAAATGAGACGTGCACCACCAGACAACTTCAAGGTGGTTTTTCAAACCTTGTCATGGTATCAGTAGTCCTCTAAGGATTCACCTCTGTTGATCCAAATGGCCTCTGAAACTCTGTCCCCTACCCTGTCTTTCAACACCATGGTCCACCTCTTGACCATCAAGTTATCTTCTTCCAACTTTCTCCTCTGGCATAGTCAAGTACTGCCATTGCTGCAGTGTCAACATCTCCTTGGACATGTTGATGGCTCCATCACACCTCCTTCTGCAACTATCGGTTCTGGTGCCTGTGCCACTGTCAATCCAGCATTTGCTCAATGGCAGCAGACCGATCAACTTGTATTAAGCCTCTTCCTTGCTTCGTTGATGGAAGAAGCCCTGTCTGTTGTTGTTGGCCCAACCTCTTCACATGT